TTCAAAAATACGATTGTTGTGCTTCCCATTTTTTTTGTTTAAAAAAAAAAATTTTGAAAATTTTTCCAGAAATTTGAAAATTTGGAAAAAATATTCCGATTACAATTTTTTTTTTATCCGGGTAGTGAATAATTATAGCTTCAGATTGCACACGGCGAGAAATATTCAATACAAATGCCCAAACTTTCCGGTAATATTACCGTTTGCTCTCTTCTGTTACTTCAAAGAGATAATCCAATTTTTACCGAGAGAAAGTTATAATCACAAATCAACAGCTCAATCGATGAAAGGGAAAGGACCGAACTCAAGTTTTGACTTATCGAGAGATCACAGGTTTCATCACTTCGAGGAGAAAAAAATGTTTGAAAATTGACGCATGCTGTTTTGATGACTAGATTATTCAGAATGGAAATTGAGAAAGTGTATTATTAAAGCTGATGAATTATCACCATCGATTTATAAATCTTTTGCATTTCTACATATCACCTAAAACGTTCATCGAGTGTTAAATCCCCATCGATTATATTTTGGATATATTCAATATAATTCCAGAAAAAAAACTCCATCTCACAACTCTTGGATTATATCTTTTTCAATGCGGGATGCCTTTTATCGTTATATCTTCTAAGAAACTAATTTAAAACATTCAACAATGGAAAAGCTGAATGGGTCAATATGTTCTCCATAATATGTGATCAAATTGATACCGGCGTTTGTTCCAATCAAAGGTCTTGGTGTAGACCTCATTAAATATCTTTCACTATAACAAAACCCTTCACTGTCTCGCGAGAAATCTTGGACTTTTTTTCTTTTCAATGTATCAGTGCCTCCAGTAGCCCATTGTACCGGTAAGATTTATATCGATTCATACGAGCGATTTATAAAGATGATTTACACACACAGTATTTACCAAGCGATCTTGATTCTTAAATTGCGAACGTACATGCATGATTCCTAAACGATACAACGAAAACCTATTTAATTCTAAATTTTATTCATTTTAAAAATATCACATCCAAAAATTTGGCTGAAGAAAAGTTCACTCGAATATTATTCAGAGAGAAAGTGCAATAAGACATTTTCTATTTCCATTTCCAAAATATTGATTTGGAAAAATCGTTCGAGTTCTATCGATTTATACATCTTCGTCGTAGGTTTGGGAATACCCTGAATTATTGAGACCATTAAAACATCATAAAACGAGTAGGAACTCCCAGCATTTGAAAAGGAGAGCACTTGAACCAGATCAGAGCCCATTGTGTGGATTTCTCCGAAGCAATAAAGGAACGAAAAGATTCGACAAAAAATATTTAAAAAATAAATGAAAAAATGTACATTCCTGGTGCACTTTATAATCGCAAATCTCAAGGTACATCCTTAATAAGCACCAGTGCTATCTTGAGCAATATCTTCATTTTTACCGTGTAGTCCACGCGGGATTCCTTTTCTTCATCTCCAAGGGATTCGTGATGGCGGATAATCTTCTCAGAAAACATCAAACTCTAGGCAAAAGTACCATTGATGCACACAACCACCTAAAGTTTTTAGATTGTGCACAATTTTGTTTTTACTCTCATCTACTCCCTAAGTCGATTATAATAGATGGGGATAGGCTGTTCCTTGTGACGAAAATGGTAACTCCCATGAAACTGAGAGTTTCTTTTTCACCAGCTAATCGTCATCTTCATGATCGTCACATCAATGGAACAATTCGTGGTTCGTTGACTTCGAGATCGTATTTTCATTCCACGCTTATTCATTTGCTAAGAATTATTTTTTTCACTCATGCAGTGATTTTTCAAGAAATAATTCAATTTGGATTGTTTTCTATTGCATTCATGAGTATTGATGAATATTCCTACGCAATTTTCATAGCAGCATCTCAAGATTGTGGGAAGACTTGGATTTTTCTCAAGAATTTATTTTCTGTATGAGGAGACCTTTAAGGCCTTTAAAGCCTCACAGTTGGATATTTTTTTCTCTTAACCCTTTTTTGTTTTTTTTTCAATTTTCAATTTTTTAAATTTTCGCTTTATTCAGATAATTTCCGTGGAATGACTCCCATGATTGTATTCTAATCTACATTTCAAGCCCCAAAATAACTCAAACATTCCAATCCCTAAAGGCCATGCAGCTGCATACAAATTCACTTTATTTGATCTGAATTGCACCCTACACATCGATTCATGACTGCACGTGCGTACATTCGATAAACCACTTGCAGGAGACAGTAGTCACGATGAAACGGAACTGTGTCGTGCATTTCACGAAGTCTGTCATCTTACGCAATTGTAATGAGCAAAACGGGTCATGAAGTAGAACACTGGAATGCAAATACCGTGCATTCAATCCGGGGAGTAAATCTCACAATAATGATTCACAAAATTGAACTATTAATTCCCAACTTGACATCCACTAAAGACCATTGAATTTCATCATTGAATGGCGAATCGGTTTATCACTTGACACCACCCCATGAAAAAATATCAGATAATTTCCATAGAATACGATAAATTCTTCCTACGGATGCAACCGTTAGATTGTTTGACACAAAGTGTGAAGACGTGGGAGGAAGAATCAAAATGCCAGAGGATTTTCACCGATCGCCATTATAGGAGTGATAGGACAGAGTCGAATGATTGCGAATGAAAGAAACTTCTCGTGGGTAGTCAGGCAAGGTCGTTGAAACATCATTGTAAATACTATTTTTATTAAATTTCCGTCGTGTTAATGTCATGTCTACATTATGTTAGTCTTCTTCAGGGTAATATTGTAATGGGTAGGATATGTTGGTTTTAACTTTGGAGGACAGTTGGATTATCTCCACCCTCTTGAGTAATATGTTAACATTGAAGACGAATCACCACGTATCGTCGCTGCAATTATGTGAGCTCGCCTCATCGACATCTTTCGAGATGCACGATACCCCTTAGTGGCTCTTATCCCATTCTCACACATTCGCATCGTCTGACTCACGTGCTGGCAAATTGATCAAGCAAATAGACGATGGTGCACAACATCGTGTTTAACATTTTAACTTCCACTCAGTGGTTTATTTATATTTTCTATTCAGTGAATGAAGAATGACGGATACAGTAGAATTACCTTAATTCGTGCAGCCCTCCCCTATCGGCATTTTCTCCCTCAAAAATATTTCCCCTCCTTCGCATGCATTGCCCATCTCAATTGCAATATCATGCACGTAGAAATGGGTACAAAAGGTCATATCAATCGTATTCATTTGAAAATTGAGAATTTTTGATTTTTTTTTTAATATAGGTAAAACCAAAAAAATTTGGGTGACAGAAAAGAAAAAATTCTGGTAGCGTTGGGAAAACGTGAACAAGAATAACTGATTCAATTATTTATTTCCATTATCCTTTTGTTAGCTTTTGTTATCTATGAAAACTGGTACACGAAAATGGTTTGAGGAATTTTAATGACTTGAATTTACCTTTTGAGGATCAACTAATTATCCATTACCAATTTTGTTGGTTTATATTTGTTATTGGACATAAAACACTCGAAGATTTTCACTGTTGTAACGATAGACAAGAGCCCATGGGTAATGCCATGCTAATAGGCAGGGTCGCTCACCTGACACATGCACCACTGTACAGTACATAACGGGCTTTGTATTTTCTTTCCTTATCCCTTTCAACTCCTCTGAGCATTTGATTTTTATTTTTTTTTTCTTCTTCCATAGCATCTAATATTTTTTTCCGCCAAGACGTACGAACATTCGAGTCCAGTCAAGTGAATATCCTGGTTGATATGCTGAAGAAATTGCAGTATTCACTATGTACTGTTCGCTGATTGTTCGAGGAAACAATTTTTTCATTGTATTCAGACTGCACACTTGCTGCTAAAGAAGCTGTTTTACTCAGGTAAATAAGTGCCATCCCCGTTGCACACACTCCCAGATTCTCAATTCATTTACATTCGTAAATACCACAAAAACACTTAAGAGCACCAGTTTTTTCGAATATTTACTCAACTTTATGCGTAACGCGTCAAATAATATACTATTTACTCGGGTATTCATCTTCACAAATTCTTAAACTATTTTTAATGCTACGTAATTCTCAGTTACTGCGAATATAATCATTGGCCTGGACTAATTCTGTTGTGCACGATAAGTAGGTGATAACCATGAGTTTAACTATTGTCTTGGATGCCCAGCAAAAACACTCCATTTCGTTCATTCATTACTCTCATTTCCTGTTCTAAAAAAAATTAAATCCATACCACGTCGCATTGAACTCCCGTATCCTGCGTATTATCTACTTAAATGATAGACCACAAAAAGAAAAATTTGGCCAATATAATTTTGCCGAGATTATTTAATGCTAAAAATATTTGCAAATAATTTTCATTTGATTTCTCATCCAAAACAGACTTGACTGGCATAGAATATTATGATGAAAGTGAAAAAAAAAGTTGATTTAGTCAAGTGCAGAGATTACTCTAATCACACTCATCGGGAAGTACAGTGCGAAAGGAAATTACTTCTGCTAAAGTAATTTACTTCTGTCAAGTAAATTTATTTGGCTGAAGTAATGATTTCTCCCAGTGAGATTTTACAAAAAGTTTATATTAGGAAAACCGTACTTGAAAAAATCTACGATTTTCATTAATTCTACTTCAACATCACAGCTATCCACAATTTCCCCCCAATTTTGTATTATTAATTGAGTTGATACCAGTCTCGAATGCAAACATAAATAATAAACATTGCATGATACTTTGTTAGTTTTACCTCCATTTAATATTGAATTGTTTCCTGATGTTGAGAGTGGTACTGGTCCCGCACTCTCAATCATCCACACGATGGTATAATATAAAGAGGGCTATAATACCTAGGGAACTGGTTTTCCCATCCCATCAGGGTATAAAGAAAAAAAAAAAGAAAAGGTGTAAAAAGATAAATGAAAAAGGAAAGAAAAAAATTCAAGTGAAGATATGAGAAAAGCCAGTGATAACGGGACAGGTAAACTCACCAGGATATCCCTCGGGAATGACAATTTCCGGTCCGATTTTAACGTCATGACGATAACGATGAATTAGCAGTGTGGCAGTGACACGTAACGATCGATGCTGTTGTTTGTAGAGTAATACTGGTCGACCACCAGTTGCTTCAAGTCTCACGACTCTTGGTAATGAGAATCGATCGAGAAACTCACGCAGTGGCATAAATCCACCCGACGAACTTGAATTACCCTCAGCTGTTGCTTCACGTGAGCTAGGCAGAGATTTAGGTAATGACGGAATTTCTCCACTTGACATCGATGAAAATTCACTGTTCGACGACATCTTGATTGATCTATCAGATAATCACGAAATATTATCACAGCCTTATCAGTCACTTGTAAATGTCAATAAAAAATCATTTTCTCCAATAGTATCTCGTCCACTAATAAAGCGGAAGGTGAACCTGCTTGACTTGCCGGTTGATAACAACAGGTATTAAATTCCGGTTACACTTTCTTCAATTATGTCACACTCACTGATCGAGTCACGAGAGAAAGGTGAAGATGTGTTGCACCGTCACTGTCACTTTTTCCCTTTTTTTTTATCCACACGGATAAAACAATTGAGAGTATAAAAATCCTGGAATGGCAGTACTCGTTGTCACGGCTCACGGAAGAATCAAATCATCTGTGAAACACAAGACCAATTTACTCCTTGAGTTTTCTCCGTCGTGGTTAGTCAAGTGGATAAAATTGCTGTTTTCAAATCACTTTCTTCAGCTATTCGATGTACTTGAATTATCATTTTTCCGAGCAGTTTCAACGGTTTCAATTGTTGGTGATTATCAATATAATGGATATATCGATATGTAAGTCTGCTTTCGTCTGGTTTATTCCGTTGGTGTGGATAGATGCATGTGTAAAATCATCGGGAGCTGGGCAAGAGTAAACTTCTAACTCACTGATCGGAATCCGTTGCCGCAGGAGCAACGGAACGCAGCGAGGAGAGATCGTTGTGCTCAACGGAGAGTTGCAATTATCCGCCCCTGTTGCCCTCCTTATCATTTACTCAGTCGCAATTTTCCGCAGGTACATTGCGACCACGAGATGCTGCTACAGTAGACCGAGTGATGGGTCCCAATGAAGAAACGAACAGACCGGATCGAAATGAAGGGAATCGGTCATGCACGCATGAATTTTAATACTTATATCACGAGAATTTCATGTACTTTTGTCCAGTCAGTACTGTACTCCCCCCATTCACTCACTCCAATGATTATTCACCACTTACTATTAAAGTAAACCGGTTGTCGTATCCTTAATAATGTCGCAATCAATCGGAATTCTCTGTGACCGATCGTGCGTCATTCAGTTGAAAATTCGCTGTAGAGATTGTGAATCAATTCTCCACCTGAATGCCAATTTCCTGTGGTTATTCCCCATGACACCATCTCATAAATCATCCGAATTTCGTCGTTGATACGGCGTGTGCTCGATTTTTGTGCAGGTGATAACCACGCCATTCGATCGATTTAACTGGACACAGCGTTACACACCCCAGGGGGGTCCGGGGATATGCACTTGGTGCCCTTGCGATCGGCAAATCCACTAGCACGCTGGGGCACTTATCTCCTTCTACTCGATTCCCCGTGGCGTTTATGATTTACTGCTACTTCTACACTCTACTCCAACGTTCGACCTGCCATTTTTATTCGATCCAGTCGTTTACCATCGCACATCATTTTTTCCATGAATTATCACTCATCATATTACGCCTCTTTCTTCAGTTCCTTTCCCTGCAAAATAAAAGCCAAATATTCTCAGGTTTCCTCCATTCTAAAGAAATCGGCATTAAAGTCGTCAACAAGGATGCGATTGATCTCACTGATTGATTTTGATCTACACATCTTCGGGGATTTTTTCACCGATACACTAGGTGAAGAAGGTAATGCAATGGTATTATAATAATAAATTACAGAAATCCGATATTTTTTTGACGTGTGCTTATTTATTAGTTTCTATAAAAATTCAAATATCCCCCTGATCATTTTGAATTCCACCGATATTCAGAAAATTTCCGGAGAATTTTCCGCGGTAATGATCAAATCAAAAAATTTTTTTTTTTGATCAAATCAAAAAATTAAATCAAACATGAGGTTTAGAACATTTTTATCATACACCCACACACATCCACGGACGGACACGGTTTAATTGCAATTTCGGGATTGAATCGTATTGGGGTGATATACTATAAAAAAATGGGAAATAAAAATTCCATCGATTAGGATCGATTCGGAGGGTGAACTACAAAAAAAGTACCTGTGAAAAAAATTCACATATCCTAGTTTTATAATTCAAAACAGAATTAAAAATTCACATTGCATATGTATCTAATAAAACAATACGATAATAAATAACCCACTGTAGGTTGATAGGTGAATGAAAAAAATGAGAAAGAAAATTCAAGTTTACCACTTCGCAAGAGAGTTAATAATGGATTGAAATGTGAATAGTACTCACACAAGTGAAAATTACGGTGGAATAAATGGTCACTATTTTGGGGTATGGAGATGCGGTGGGACCGGCGGACGCGAAGTCACTGACGCTTGGCAGCCGGCGAGCAGAGTGTAAGATAGGTACTACCACCATTAAAAATACGGTTGTACACCATTGGTTCGTTCCATCTCTACACAATACCCACACCATTGAGCCATGAAACACCAACGTGAACCGTACGCAAGGAGTAACCCCACGACGAAGTGTATTATATCCAAGTTCTGGTTGTTGCGGCACGTCCTGACGCGGGCGTTGATGGTATAAGGGTTCGTGGGTCGCAGCGGCTTCTTAATAGAACACATACGCACTTTATCCTTCGCGTGCCTTTTATTAGCCACAACAACGCTCAACGTTCAACTTCACAACCATTGTGTTTAAATGCCTGAGATATACATGGGGTGGAGAAAAAATGGCAAGCAGGGCATAGGGCAGAATGAGAATAACACTGGAGAATAAGTCTGTGTACTCTTTAAAATGGCACGAGACCGAACGATGTTATTAGAAAAATTATGCCAGAGAAATAAAAAAAAAAGAAAATTAAATTTTGATAATTTTTAAGCGAGACCTACTGCGCGCTCCGTGCGCCGAATTTGAATTTGGCGGGTCCAGTTGACCAATTAGGAATTGGCCCTACGCGTTTCGAGGCATTTCGAGATATTTCGACTCGGGCGAACTTCATTTTTGTGTTTCTACTTTCATAGGAAGGACGAGACCTGCGCACTCCGTGTGCTGAATTTGAATTTGGCGGTACGAGTTGACCAATCAGAAATTGGTCCTACATAGCTCGGGATAGCTTGGTGCAACCAAGTGTTTCTTCAGTGGAAGTCATGAAATATTTTCTATGGACAAGTGAAAAATTCTTCTAGTCAGACAACGGGAGTGCATTGAGTGTACCTCAACCAATCCACCGTGTGGTTTGTTCGGTGAGAAAATGGAACGACCTTGAAGTTTCGTCCTCATGTACTGTACATATATGCGCATGAAACATGAAGAGCTGCACTGGGAAAAAAGTATCGGGGGAAAAAGTTTATCGACTAGGGAATTAAGAACAAGCACTCGAGAGAGGACGAGATTAGACTGGAGATGTGACTCGAATTTTTTCCATTCTTTCCTGCATTCTTCAGTTTCTTCTCGCCATTTTTGAAATTGGAATATTGAGAAATACCAGGCGACCTTGAATTCTCCTAGTTATTTATTTATTATGTGTTTTATAAATCCAAGATATTCTCGAATTTTCTTCTTTAAAATAATATAAACAGATTATTAGAAAATACTTTAGATTTCTTCTCTAGATCTTTGTTTGAAGATATTTTGAGGGGAATAAACTGAATATATTATAGTATAATTTAAAGTAATCTTGCGATAAGGAGAGGCTACGATCAGGAATAATATCCCTGAAAAAAATTTCGAAAAGCAGATCGATACCAAGAATAACATTTTCCTCGTTTTTTTCTCAAAAAAAAAATAATAATAATTTCCAGATATCCTGAAAATACCACTCAATAAGATCCAGAATTTACTGACGTCACCGAGTCGTCATGATATTTTTCCTTCGAATTCCTTCACCCGCAATATTTTCCATCGCCACAATTATCCTGACCATTATATTTTCAGTTCAATTCCGGAGATTCTCCCCCGAGATTAGCCAGGGGTAAAGCAGTTAATCGCGCACTCTGAAATATGAAATGCGATCTTGCCAGGATTGCACTAGGTAAAAGGTAGACTACGAAAACGGTAATAATAACAATAAAAAAAAAACATGTAAAAATATAATGCCCTGAGAAGCTCAACCTTGCAAGGACAAGAACACGAATGACTGAGAGAAGGTGTAAAATACTTTCTCATGTACAATATCTACCTGAAAACTCAGAGGAGGTACGTGACTCGGAGAGTAATGAGTTCTTGCGGAAAATAAAATTTATCCATCTATCAGCCACGAGGCTATATATTTCAGTAATATGCATTAGTGCAAGTTAGACAGTTGAAAGGAATGGTGACGTAGTTGGTAGATGCTCAGAGGCACGTCCCAGATGTCGAGCGTATACTTAATGGAGTAACGCACGAGTTAAATGAAGTTAAGTATCTCGCAATGCCAAGTGCCTTGGACCAGGATGACAGGTGTTACGCACGCCCTGTCAATTTTTTTTTTCCTCCACCAGGGTTTGCTCTTATTTTAGCACATCCTCCTTTTCCTCTCACTGAGATCCTTTTGCCAGACGCCGCGGAAGCTCAGTCCACTCCAAGAGTTTCACTTGTATATATACGAGTCTCACTTCCCCTTCTCAGAATGATTACTTCCCCCGTCATCTTTGAATGTTGTGCTCCCTCTTCCTTTTATTCTTCTGCTTTTTTTCACTGCTTCCCTCTATATTTTGCTCATGCTTTCAATGAAATTGTAAGGCACTTGGATATTTTATCACCTGTCACTTTAGGAGCACACGCTTTCCTGAGAAGCATTTCTTAATTCGTTGTAGGAAAGGAATCGAATGGTTTCAGAATGTTTTTAGGTGGCTGGCGACTTGATTTGAGTTGAGCAATCATGTGGATTGATTTTCAAGTCCTAGCTTGGGTAATGAAAACTTTTCATTGATGATATAAACAAAGTTGAGATCTAAGTCTGGTATTACTGGATTATTCAGGATGCGTTTAAAGATCCAGGCCAGGATAATAAAAGGTGATAAAAGGATGAGACTTGACTTAAATTTCATTGAGGTGATGAAGTTGCTAGCACTGTTTTAACTCTATGCTTGGCAACTTCCTGGTCTTTTCACTTGAAAATAAAAACCAGATATCCTGGTTCACCCACGCAAATGGGATCGGATTCTCTCGACTAGCGTCCCAGCCCTAGCCACACCAGGATATATCCTGGTTTTCCATTTCCCATTGCCCACCTTTTGTGAAACGATAAAGATCTAGGTGATTTTATGTTTTAGATCGACGAAATTATCGTCCAGTGGTTGATAAAAATAATGTGAATGTCAGTGAGATACTTTCATTTGGAGATTTTATATCGTGAAAATGTTTGAACTCATGAAGTGTTTACGGTGCCAATTTATTTTTTTTTAATTTATTTCTTACGGTACACTCGAGCGAAATTTTATATTTGGACTCTTTTGTCTGCCACGTTTTTCCATGCGTACGACGTGCAGTGGTGACTATCAATTTCATATTGGCACTCGTCTAATGCTCCATATGGAAGTTGCTGAAAGAGTGCTACAGGAATTCCAAGTGACAGGTGCCTCGGACAATGTCATCCTCAACACCTCAGTCACTGAATTGAATACAAAAATATCTCTCATTTGTTGATGCAAAGAGCCTTTTGTCTGAATTTTTTTTAGGGATAGCCTCGGTAGACGAATCCTTTCAAATGTCATTCTCTGGTGATAGATAATGGTTCGCTGAACAACAGATGGCAAAGCACTCTGGAAAAATCTTTTCCCAATGATAAATTCAATAATGAAAAAAGGAGAGTTATAATTGTATGAGAAATAATTCCAGGACAAGGGAAATTTAAAATAAATCAATACATCGTATATCTGACGTAAATAGCGTATAAGTGATGTATGTTGGAATAAGTGATGTATGTTGATCAAGGTGTTGTGTTTGAAAAAAAATGGAAACATGAAAAACCTAACAATAGTGAAGACCGATGACAAACATATCAGGTATTTGCACAGGCGGTTGTTTTATTTATGCCTCCATGGGACTGGTGTATACATCATAGTGCACCCACGGTATTTCCCCAATATCTTAACCGATGTTTCAGCAATATGCGTTGGATGTTGGTGCAAGCGTTTGGCTCCAACGCAGACACAGTGAGACACAACCCAGTGTGAGCCACAACTAAAGACGATGAACCTTCAAGGCCGCCGATCATGCCAATAAACCGGCGCTTGAACCGCGTATTTTCTTTATGATTCCCTAGCTCAGGTCGTGGATTTTTCAGTCTGGGGGTAGAAAGAAGGTCCATGAAGAAACCTCACTCTGAGCATGTATGCGACGAGCTCTCAGACTGTCTCACTTTATTCACCATATTTCTCAGGGAGATGCATCCCACCATTGGCCTTGGATCAAGTCGACGTACTCATCGAATGATCGGGGCCCTATGTGTCTACCTGACTCTCATCAGGAAGCCCATTTCACTCATTGAAGCAACAACAATCGGTCAATCATTCTGTTGAAATATTTCAGTGCAGCTCTTTCATTGTCCTACAAAAATCAGATGTCCAGAAAACCTTGTGATGATGTGGAGTGATAGTCTACGATAATTTTGTTTTAATTATAAATATTAATTAGGAATTTTGTACTGGAAAAATTTAATGGAATCACGAGGTGGTGAGCTGTGCTGGTGGTCGGATGAATCCAAGATTCTGGTATTTATAAAAGAAGTTGGAAAGAGCAGACGAAGTACTCTCATTTCTTTGGCTCAACCTTATACGAAGATCGAGCGAACTTCAGGGCCGTTTGGTGCCCACATCTGGCATTTCGAATATGCAGTCTGGAGCAGATTTTTCCCTCGTACGATTCATGTGTCTCCATTCAATTCATAAATGTTTCATTTTTCTTAGGATAAAATACCCGGCGAAAAGAGACTCTCACATATTACAAACCTGAAATAATAAATCGAAGGGATAATTTCTCTGAATAGAACTGAGGAAAACTTGATCATGGAGTGGACCACCAGTCGATGCGATGGAAGACCACAATTTTGCTCCTGAAATATTTTAGAGTACGCGATAAATAAGAAAATATGGAGAGGATTAAAATTTTGAGGACGGAAATTGGCACGGGGTTTTTTGGAATGTCTCAGTTGCAACACAGCCAACTCCCTTATTTTGACCGGTTTGTTACGTACGTCAATATAAGATTCTTTACGTTCGCGTTGGTACATTAGCCTGGTGGCTTTAAAAATCCGTGAAATAATTTATGGCCAAAGGTTTGGACGGAGGGCTTTTTGACGTTGCGACTTTAAACTCACATCCACCTCTGGTGAATGTACATACACCTCCCAGTCACAATACACATAAAAGCCAAAACTTT